AATGGGAATCTGTTGAAATATTGTAGGGGGCGCCGTTGAGCCGTGTTGCATTTTACAACTTGGCCCAGTCTGACTTTTTTATTCGTCCTGACCTGCTCTATATGCCTACAAAATTGCGTAGCTCTAGGCCAAATGTGCTTTTGACAATTTAGAAGGTGGCGCTGTGGAGTAGTTTTTCTATTGAGGTGTGTATTGTTCTTCCAAATTATAAAATTTTTCACCGGGTCTGATGTACATGGCAATTTTGGTGAGTTTTCGAGTATGTTTAGGGCCTCAAAAACGCATGTCTTTGGCACGAATAATAATAATAATCTGAGCAGTTCCAAGAGGGTCTTCGCACCCTTTTGGGTGCTTGGACCCTAATAAAAATAAAAATGGAGGGTTTAGCAACATCGTCGTGATTTCATGGCCGGCCGTTGGGTTGAACCATCAACAGCTTCTGCTCCACCGTCTCGACTTTCATAGCATAAAATATAGATATTTATAAAGATGTTTGTCCAATTTTAGCCTCATTTATCAGATACTTTCCAAGATATGTTGTTTTTTAAATTCCCCATCAGCAGGTTTTTTCCTCACGTTGAAATCTGATTCTGTTTGAACAACAACATCTGAGGAACTATTAAAGATAAAAACCTGAAATTCTCACTGGTATTCCTGAAAGTGTTGCTGAAAGTGTGTCAACGGCAAATATCTTGGAAAGTATTTGTCATATTGAGCTGAAACGTATTTTTACTACCGTGCAGAAGGAACCTGATGGTTTCAGATGGAAACCTCAACGGACAGTAAAAACAAAACTAGAACGATTCGTAATAAGGAAGCGTCTGATGCAATATCCCCAAATTTCTCAATATGAAACCAAAAGCTTCTGTCCTCTAAGTTCTACCAGTTTCAGCTCTACATCTACATTTTGCCAAATGTTGTGGTTAAACTTTGGGGTAACTAAACGTCTCAGCGTCACACGTCGATCTCTGAACTGTGAATGTAGAAGAAAGAGAAGCAGCGGCGAACATTTCATCACTGGTATATTGACACAAACATGTGAACACAGCAGAACAGAGCGAAGGAAGTAAACAGAAGATTTTCATAATAAATAGACAGGAAGTGTCCGAACAAACCAAACAGGTCAAACACACGTCTCAGGATATCAATAACAACAACTTCTATACATTTGTACAAAAATAGAATCATCAGAGGCGTCAAAAGCCTCGTTCAAGTTCAAAAAATAAATATTTGCTCCCCGACAGGATTTTTTTTGTTGTTGTTGAAAGTTTCTGAATCATCAAACAAAAAACGAAACACGTAACCGCAACAAAGACGTTTTTCTTTTCTGCTTCATTCGTATCATTTTTGTTGCTCGTAGAAATTCTGATTCGTTTCTTTCTTTGCAGTCGCGTGTTTTTCCGACCGGACGCTGAAGTCAGTAGAAAACAGAGTTTAAAATAGAAACTGTTCATTATCCTGGAAACGTGAGAAAACATCAATCAGCTGGACGACAACAGGACGGTTTGGTGAGAGAGCAGAAGCTCAGCGTGTCGTAGTTTCATATAGAAATCTGAACAACGTCATAAAACCCACAACAGACGGCAGAAGTCGAGCAAAAACAACAACCAGAGACACAACGTGGCTGCAGAGAGTCCAGAGCTGCTGGAATCAAACACGTGGAAACTTGGACCAGAGTTCAGGTCGATAAGCTGCAGCTCAACATCAGACCTCTAAATATATTAAACCGCAGGTAACCATGGCAACAGGAGGGATGGTTCAGGCTCCGTTAGCAGTCTGCTCACTCAAGGACCTCTAAAACATCCTCAAGGACCTCAGAACATCCCCTCAGGTCCTCCTTAATACAGCCGAGCGCCTCTACAACCCTGTTCAGGATCCCAAAGACCACAGGAACCTTGAGGACCTTCACCATCACCTGGAACTTTATCAGGTCCTCAAAGACCTCTGCAGCATGTTGGTCCTTAAAAATGTTCCAAAGCTCTTCAAGGACATTAAGCATGTTGTCCTCAAGGACCTACGTAACATCCTCAAGAACCATATAATGTCCTCACAGACTTCTACAACATTCTTAAGGACCTCAAGCACCTCTGTAACATCCTCAAGAAACTCAAGTGTCCTCAAGCATGCTTACAAACACCTTAAAGACTTGTATCGTATCCTGAGGGACCAAGTCCTCAAGAACCACTACCAGGTCCTCAAGGACCTTTGCAGCATGTTGGTCCTTAAAAATGTTCCAAAGCTCTTCAAGGACACTGACAGATCCTTAAGCATGTTGTTGTTTAGCGTCCTCAAGGACCTACGAAACATCCTCAGGAACCTGTATAGTGTCCTCAAAGACCTCTACGACATTCTTAAGGACCTCAAGGACCTCTACAACATCCTTAAAGACTATATTGTGCCCTCAAGGACCTCTACAACATCCTCAAGGAACTCAAGTGTCCTCAAGCATGTTTCCTTAAAGACCTGTATCGTATCCAGAGGGACCTCGATGACATATTTATGGTGTTCTCAAAAACCTGTATCGTGTCCTCAAGACTTGTACGACATCCTTAAAGACCTGCATAGTGTTACCAAGGACTTCCACGACATCCACAAGGACCTGTATGGTGTCCTCAAGGAGCCTTTACGTTTTATTTACATCAAGATGCAGATTGAACGTTAACTTCAGTCTCTTTTCCCGAGTTTGACGTTTCTGTACACGATGAAAATCAAGTCGTTTCATCTGAAACTGGATCTTAAAGGTGAGTTCTTCTGACAGCACACAAAATTATTTAACTATTTATTTGCTTTGCAAGCAAAAATCTTTTCCTAAAAATATACTTGAAAGCATTTTCCACTGTCCAGAGCCGGCATCAGATTCACGTTTCTGATTGTTTAAAGTCTTTAACCTGCAGAAGAAGCGAGAAACTGATGCAAAAAAAAGTCTAAATAAGAGAAGAACTGCTCGGTGGGATCACGTAGTGCAAAGTCAAGATTCTGGCATTATTTCTAAAAACGTCCTTATAGGAACGAGCCTCCAAACAAATACACCAAATTCAGTCTTTTTTTTTTTTTACAGCGCAGAAAAACTAAATGAACAACATCAGAATAATGAACAGTCATATCGCATTTGCACAATATTATTAATGAGAATAAAACAGATATGAAACCATCGACGTTCACAATAACAATCTGAACGTTTTTCATCTTTAAAGTCCAAAATTTTTTCTGCAGAAAAGTCAAAAATCTGTCAAAACACGTCTGAACGAGACAAAAAATCAGTTTTGTTTTCTTTTCTTTTTTTTTAAATCAGCAAATGTTTAAACTCCTCCAACATTTTTTTATGTGTCGAGAACAGAAGAAACAAACGTGAGACACTTTTTTGTTATAAACTTGTTCTTGATTCAGAAATATCCAAATAACGACGAAGGTTTCTGCCAAAAAACAGCAATTTCCCGTCAAGACGCGGTTCTAAGAACGTCCAGCCACCAGAGGGGCCGAGTTAACAGCTTCAGTTACAACCATGTGAAGAGCTGAAAGTAATCTGATTACGTGCATTTATCACTGTTACTGCGAAAGCCGAGCTGTCGAAGTTAAGATGTTTAAAGCAGCCGCATTCAGCCGAACAGCAAAAGAAGAGTAAAGAGTAATCAGATTACTAAACAAACTGCAACGTAATAACACAAGAAAATTATAATCCTCACTCAACAACCACTAGTAATCTGATTACTTTGGAGTACTGTCACTGCGATCCTCCTGAATCACACTGTAGAAATGTTCTTTATGACATATTTAATTTATCTTAAACAGTGAAATCAGAGGTTGTTGTTTCCGATACAGCGCATCAGCTGACAGCAGAGTGTTTCTAAGTCAGTAACATCTGGCAGGAAATTAGTTCCACCTGTTAAATAAAAGCGTCGTGTCGCCTCGGACACCGAGTCCCAGAATCTGCCTTAAAAAATTCACTGTCAAAATTCCAAATCATTTAAAGTAGGTCCACGTCCAGGAAACGCCCCTCCTCCCGTCTCCCGCGTCCTCTAAGCCCCGCCCCCTTCGGCTGGACGATTGACAGTGGTGTCAGGTGACCGTTAAACATCCATCTGTGCTGTTGAGGTGCCGTCGACACCAAGCTGCTCGCTCCCGCCGAGAGCACGAGCAAAACGCCAAAATCTTAATGTAAACCGTCAGCTTGTCTCCGTCTGGTGTTCGTCCTCCTCAGCAGCTGGAGTCCTCGCTGCCGCCGCCTCCTGCTCCGGGCTTGGCGGCGGCCGTTGATCCGACGGCGATCTGGCAGCCGTTGGTGACGTGACTCATGACCTTCTGCTTGAGCTGAGCGACCTGCTCCCTCAGCATGGCGGCGGTGGAGGCCAGGTCCGAGTTCTGGTTCTTCAGGACCTTCACCTTCTCCTCCAGCCGCGAGATGCGCTCCAGCTTCCGCTTGCGGCACTTGGACGCGGCGATGCGGTTGCGGAGCTTCTTGCGCTCTGCTTTGATTCGCTCCTGCGTCTCCAGGTCGATCGGGGAAAGGGATGGCGGCGAGGTGGGGTCCCCCGGCGGGTGAGGCACCTCTGGGACGGTTTGAGGGGCATCCAGGCCTCGAGGGTGGGGCTGAGGGCCTCCGCCATGACCTGAGCCTCCGCCGTACGCCATCTGCCCTCCGGGGAAAGGCATCTGGCCCGGGTTGTAGCTGTTGAGGTTGGTGTAGACGGGCATATCTCCACCGGACATCAGGTTCCTCTGGTAGGACGCCTGCAGGGAGACACCGGAGGACGAGGAAGGGGACATGGGTCCACCTCCCACCAGCTGGTTCTGCTTGTGGAGGTCTGCCAGTGCTTTGACGAAGCCGTCGGCGAACCCTTCTTGCTCGTTGGTAGCCTGGGCGCGGTAGATGAAGGGGTTGGCGGAGTTGGACACCGGGCTCGTGGTGACCAATCCCTGGTTGGACTGGATGATCAGGTGCTCCAGGTCGGGGGACGCCAGCTTGAGCAGGTTCATATCTGCCGAGGGCCCTCCAGAGGCCGCCGCCGATGCCATCAGGGAGCTGTTCCCACCGAGCCCCAGGTTGTTGTGGTTCCCACGTCCTCCTGCTGCACCGCTGCCGTGGAAGTGATGACTTCCTGCCACCGACATGGCCTTCTTACTCATCAGCATCTTGTTTCCAGGGTAACGCTCGTACTCCGCGATGTGGTTGAAGCCGGGGACAGCGGGGGAGTCATCGTGGTAGAAAGGAGTCTCCATCTTGGCCGTCATTGACAAAGAGACGCCTCAGAGGAAATCTTCATAATCAGATTAACCTGAATATCAGACGGGATTGAAATATTCCCCTGACGTCGGCGGCTGGAGGATGAAGGCAGGACGAAGACGAGACGAGTTCCTGCAGGAGAAACAAACCGAGACAGAAACGTTACCGATGCTACAGGTTGAGCGTTAATTCCTCCCTGATGTAAGAGTTAAAGAGAAATATTAACCTCAGATCAGACAATAAAGCTCTCTGTCGCTTGTTTGGCTGAATTCAGAAGCTTCTGTTCACAAGGTCAAGAGCGAACTCGTACGCTCAAGAATCTCTTTGCTTAAAAGTCTTCATACTCATTAATAGACTTTTATTCTTTTCATGCTGACTTATATTTCATCTCCTCATCCCTCCTTTCCTCTGATCAACATCACAGCTTCATGTGCATCAAACGTTCATAATAACAGTAATTAGTTAAAAACAACAAAACAAACACGATTCAGAGGATGACTCCCAAACAGAGCTACAGCTTAGCTTTGTGGATAAATCCACTTCCTGCTCTCACTACAGCTTAGATTTCTCTGTGTTTTTGTTTTATTTCATATTTAGCGTCTATCACACCAAAGACTAAGTTGAACTGGTAAATGGTTCAGACCATTTCAGTGTCGTTGCACTTAATTACTTATTTATTCTGTATAGATCTGTCGGGACATGACTAAAAATACCACAACGAATTCGCTCTTGGACATTGGACAAACATACCACAGGATATCTGGAGAATCTACAACTTTCTTCTACTCATGTAATGGAAATCAAAGCACCTCCAAACTCCAGCAGTGACTACTTCAGTTACACCACACAGTGTAAATGTGTGGATAATGTAGAAACCAGGCCGACAACATGACCACATGGCCTCACAGTTACCATCAAACGCTGACACGTTCATCAGCTGCAAGCTTCAAACCGCTGAAAACAGTAAAATTACAAAGACCAGAACAGTAGTGCTGAGGGACTGGATGGACAGCTGGGTTTTCAGGACATTTTAGTACAACAGATACGTGACAGTTCAGGAAAAAGAAACCAAACTAAAGCTGCATCAGCGATGGACGGGTCAACGTACCCACTCGGAGGAAATAGGTTTTGATATTGGCCAAAAGAGAGCGAAAATGGCCTGTAATGCTCGCTGTTTTTCCAACATGGCGGATTTCCTGTTGGGTTGTGCGCTGACATTGTAGGGGGCACAGTTGAGCCATGTTGCATGTTAGAGCTTGGAGGTGGTCGACTTTTTTGTTCGTCCCGACCTTCTCCACATGGGCGGCTGTGGCTCAGGTGGTAGAGCCTCTGATCGTAAGGTTGGCGGTTCAATCCCCTCCACAGTCAAAGTGTCCTTGGGCAAGACACTGAACCTGAAGATGCTCCCGATGGCAGGCAGCACCGAGCATGGCAGCTCTGTCGCCTCTGGTGTATGAATAGGTGAATGAGAAACACATTGTAAAGCGCTTTGAGTGCTGCTGAGGTAGAAAAGCGCTATAGAGCTGCAGTCCATTTACCATTTACCGTATGTCTACCAAATTTCGTAGCTCCAGGTCAAACGTGCTTCCAACAGGACTCCATTGAAATTTTCAAGGGGGCGCTGTGGAGCCATTTCAGCAGTGACATGTCTAAGTCCCTTAAAATATCAAATTTTTCACCAGTCCAGGTGTGTGTGGTGATTTTGGTGAGTCTTGGGGCATGTTTAGACCCTCAAAAAGGGCAAAATTCAGAATAATAATAATAAACCCAAGCGTTCCAATATGGAGTCGTTGCACTGATGGCACTCTGACCCTACTGATGGAGCAGAAAGGATCCCCTACATCTGTATGAACGTCATATAAAAACGATTAACATTAACATAACAGGATGAATGTGATTTAAAACATGAACAACACGTGTTTACATGTTTGTGTTTGCAGCAGCACACTCGGTTGAAAGTGAAAGTAGAACTGCTGCAGGCGCCGCTGTGGGGGAGTCGGTACCAAAAAAGGTCTGATAGGTTTAAAAAAAGGAGGTTTTAACAGAACGCTTGTGTGTCAGCGTACATTAAAAGGGTTGTTAGTTAATAAAATCATTTCTTCTGTGTGACTTTAAAAGACATGAAGCCATCGTTTAACCTCGACAGTTAACAGAACGCGTCGTGAAACCGACCACGAGTTGAGAGGAACCGAGTCAGCTCAGGTCCGCCGTCGCCTTCCTTCCTTATGATTAATCTGAACTGCACGTTGGGAAATAATAAGACAGAAAAGAAAAACCCCGGGAGTTTCTACAGGTTGGCAAACGGCCGTGAAGGTCATGAGTGAGGAGCGCTTCGAAAACAAGCCGTCAAGCAGCAGCTGAAGTCCGTCTGGTGATCGCTTCGCTCCGAGCGCCGCTGACTCACGGCGGCGGCAGTTTGACCATTTTGGGGAACTGACAGAACGACTCGGTTCTGCATATCCCAGCGTACTTCACTCACATCGGTGTTTGGTCAGGCAGCTGTCACGCTCCCAAAGACGAATGGAGCATTTTTAAACGGTTAATCAGACGTTCCTGGAGCTGTAACCAGCAGAACTTGAAACCAAAGATAAGGTTGGCTCCAGCTGACTCCTGTTCAGTGCTCTTTATTCATCATGTCATTACGGTGTTTAAACCTCATGTCTGGGCTCGAAATAAGTCAATTATAGCTCTGTTATTAAGACGTGAAGCCATACAGGCTGCTGATTTGACTCTCTTAGCGTCGCAGATAACCGAAAAAATCACTCAAACTGTCGAACATCACATTTGACGATACTTATCGGACGCCCATTTAGAAAAAAAAAGCCATGCAAACATAAGATATGGCACCATTTTTAAATACTAAGCTCGCTGTTTCGACTATTTATCAGTGACTTTTACATTTCTTTTTTAGTAATTTATCAGTGACTTTTAGCTCGCTGTTTCCACCATTTATGGATTTTCGTTGACAAACTGGCCACCTTTCTAAGTTTCTCTCTAAACATAATTCACCAGTACAGGAACATAATCATGTAGACAAAAAGTTGAAGCTTTAAACTTATGCAGCACCAACTCCCAGGTTTGTTGTCAATTTGTCGATGGTGGTAAAGCAACAAAAAAAAAGTCTTGACATCTGTAAAAATGTGGATGTTTCATTTTTACAACATCAACCAAGAAGGAACCCACTTGGAACCCCACTGGATGTAAATATAATGTAAAAGATGGACGTAGCTTCTGGGTGTACATAAATAAAATATAAAGCTGCATTCTTTTAAACAGCCAGCAGGGGGCAGCTACTCTATCCGTACTAAAAACCAAAGTGACCCTGTTTCTTATTTGATTTATTACCTCAGTAAACGTTTTCCTAAAGAGTTTATGGTCTGAATGTTTAGTTTCAAGCCTCCTCCAACACACTGTAATGTGAATTTTGTGCATTATGGAGCCGTTTAAAGTTAATTACAGGCTAAAGCAGGACGTGTTTCAGGAGGAGCTGCCTTGTGATCGCCGTGTGTGGTTGACATAAAAACAACTGTTCAGTAACTGCCCATCGACCAGCTGTCAGCAGGTTGTTTCATCCAATACGTCCTTAGTTATACGTGGAGATCCATTCTGAAGCTCCAGAACCCCACCTGAATCAGACCTGATAACCTGCTCAGTTATAAAGGTTCAACAAAAATAGATTTGTTCATTTATTTGACCAATAGTCACAATAAAAACTATTCCACATGTTTAGTTTTGTTTTATTGTGAGCTGCAGCTCCATCACTGGTTGACTCCTGGTTTCCCAGTTCAACATGTTTGGACTTTCCATCACGGCTTCAGTTTGAATTCCCCCATATTTACTTGTCCAATATTACAGATTCATAATCAATAGTTCCTCAGATATTGTTGCTCAAACAGCTTCAACGTGCAGAAAAACCTGCTGATTTTTTTTAAAATCGCCTCAAAAGGTATTTTTTTTATATAAAGATAAACTTCCACAGAAATCTGTATAAATATCCACATGTTCTGCTCTAAAGATTGAAACAAATCAGAGATGATGCTCTCAGAGGGAATAACCCACAGAACCGAAAGCTGAAGAGAAAACGAGCAGCGGCACAAACTGGTCCATCGTTAACATAAAACCCAATCAGGAAGCTTCAGCCTGTTACAATAAACCATCAGAGTCCAGCAGAGGACACAAAGACGACCCCACAAACATCCCCAACAGCCTCATTTATGTCACTGTGGACAGAATGTGTTGTTATTATTATTATTATTATGATCATTATTTCCAACCAGCGGCTGCCTGCTGTCAGCGCCCTCTGGTGGACAAACGGCAGCAGCTCCAACATCTGTCTGTTCTCATGCAAATATTCATAAAATCTAAATTCAACATTAAACATCAAACCTGAGCAGATGAACTGTTTGTAACAGTGAAGAATTAACATTTACATTTAAATCACTGCTGTTCAGATGTTCTGAGCATTAAGGGGGTTTTGGGGGAACTTGACTGAGTTGTTCTGCAAATTTAATTATTATTATTATTA